AATTATCAGGTGCACCTTTAAAGCCAGAAATTAGACACAAAAGGAAAGGATAGACAGACAAACAGAGCTAGCACTACTGTTCAGTGAACAATAGTAAACAAAAACAAACCCAAAATAGCCTTTGTCAAATAATGTAAATAAACCCAAAAGTCAAAATTAAAGGCTTTCCCACAAAGCCTTTAAGCCTTTTCTCGCCTTCATCCATAACTTGCTCCGCTGCTGTGGAATGACTGGAGTCTCACTGGTTGAGGCAGTGAAACATACMTGTCCTAACCCAAACGGGTTCATGGAGAGCATCGCCATGCCTAGTTGTCCTTTGACCATCATAAGCATCTTCGACAGTAAGGCGTCTCTGGTGTTGGGTATCTTCATTGGAACAGGAGCTCTTTTGATTACTGCTCTGGTCTGCGCCATTATCCTGCCAACAACGCCAATTTCTGTCGTCGCATGAATGCAGAAACACGTCAGAATAATGCACAGAAAAGTCTGCGTGTTTGGTCGTAATAATGATTTAATTCTGAGCGACAAACAAACAGGACTCATTCAGGAAGCTCTGTGTGCTTGTGACTGACACGTCAGCGGAAAACAGCCAGTAATATAACATTATGTTAACAACATGTGACAGTTTACAACCAATCACAGATCGCCAAATGTACTGTCCAGCCTATCACAGGGCTCCCAGCTCAAAGAGTCTCTTATCAAACAAGAGAGTTCAGTCCGTTGCAGAGTCCTGTTGTCTGGGCAAACAGATTAACACTGAACAGGTGAAACAGATAGATAATTAGTCCATAACAAGTTTCTATCAGACAGAAGAGTTAAAATAATGTTTCAATAAACAAAACCAGGAAGTTTGTTTTTTAAAGAGTTCCCCTTTGATGTCACTTCCTGTTTCACATTAGCTGAGGAAAGGTCAAAAGAAAATATGCCAGTTATGTGACAAAATGAATAAAATCACGTGTAACTAGAAGCACTAGGAGAGTGCAGACCTCCGCCAAGTCCAATTAATGATGGAAACACATTTGCCAAATAAGTTCTGACGTAATGAACATTTAAGCAGCAGTATGCATGGAATTTCTTCCCGGTGAAGTCCAATGTAGAGAAAAGGGAAAAAGTCAGACCCGATGTTATTGTTGAAAGCTTTTGCGTCGGTTCTACGTGATTCAAAAAAGCAGAGTTTTCATTGCGCGTCTAATCACACAGACACACACGCGTCTTCCTATCTTTGTGAGGACCACACACAGCTGTCACAACCACGCTCTGCGCATTCTTTTTTCGCCAAAGTTTGGCGAGAGGTGGATAGAGAGGCGCACAAAAGGCTCTCGACTTGATCTGGTCTCATTTAAATAATAATAAAAATAAACAAACAAACAAACAACCTCCGAGTCTGAACTCCACCGCGTCACTCCTCTTCCTCAATCTTCATCGATCTGTGTACAAGCCTACCGACAATGTGGTGTGTTTGAGGAAATGGGAAAA